TGGCCGACAGGCCACAACAGTTACTTGGATATTTGCATCGTCTCCATTGTTCATATCTTGATTGTTGCTGGCTGGGGGAATTCTGGGAGTTGAAGCCCACACATCTTAATGTGTCACATAAGCCAGACAAGGAACAATGGATGGAAACTGAACAAGGAAAGATTCAACCTGGAAATAAGGAGAAACTTTCTGACAGTGAGAACAATCAACCCATGGAACAGAAGTTGCCCTCGGAAGTTGTGGGAGTGCCATCACTGGAGACCTTCAAGAAGAGATTGGACTGCCATTTGTCAGAAATGGGGTAGGGTCTCCCACTTGGGGGGGGTTGGACTAGATGATCTACAAGGTCCCTTCCAACTCTGATTATTTGTTTTATTTTTATCTAAACTGGTCTTCCTTATCCTGATGTGTGTATGCCAAAATACAGAATAACAGAGGTGGGAGGGACCTTGGAGGTCTTCTGGTTCAACTAACAGCTTGACCAGGAGATCTTATACCATTCTGTGGACAAATGGCTATCCAGTCCCTTTTTGAAAAAATTACCTCCAGTGATGGAGCCCCCACAATGTCTGGAGGGAAGCTATTCCATTAATTAGTTGTTCTCAGTGCCAAGAAATTTCTCCTTAATTCTAGTTTGGATCTCCTGTCTTTGATAAGCCTCCCTCTAGTGCAGGGGTCTCCAACCTTGGCAACTTTAAGACTTGTGGACTTCAACTCCCAGAGTTCCTCAGCCAGCTTTGCCGGTCAGAGGTGGGATTTGCTGGTTTTCTTGTCTTGCCTTCTGATGCTTTGGAAAATAAGTTGATCCCCTCCTCTTTGTGGCAGCCCCTCAAATCCTGGAATATTCCTCTGAATACACTGCTGTAACACTGCTATCATGCTACTCTTCATTAGACTAAACATACCCAGTTCCCTCACTCATTCATCGGATGGTTTAGTCTCCAGTCCTCTATAATCATCTTTGTTGCTCCTCTCGGTACTCTTTCTAGAGTCTCTCAACATATTTTTTGTATCATAGTGGCCAGAACTGCATGCGCTATTTCCATGTGTGGTAATCACACTTTTGTCGTACCATTTTCAGAATTCTCTGCAAGGATGTAGGCTGGGATTTGAGGAATTTCCATTCCAATTCAATTCAATCCAAGACCACCAGGTTTGGAGGAAGCCCAGGTCAAGTTGCAACTAGTCAAAGATGGCTAGATTGTCCAGTTACGTATATATACAGTGACATTTATTTACAACCATAAATTGAGGTTACCCAATGTCATAAATGCCAATATCACAGCTGTCTCTGGAAGGCTGTTGTACAGAGGGCCATGGTGCTCTCATGCCTGCCCTAAAAAAAATATTGGAAAATATAAAATCTCTTTCAGCATTTGCTCCAGTCTGCAATTCAACTCAGTGTCCACTGGGAGAAAAGGCTTTTGGGGAATATCTAGGATCAAACACAGATTCAGATTCAGAGAGTTGGAAGGGACCTTATAGATCATCTAGTCCAACCCCCCCCACCCAAGCAAGAGACCCTGCACCATTTCTGACAGATGGCAGTCCTGTCTCTTCTTGAAAGCTTCCAGGGATGAAGCTCCCACAACTTCTGAAGGCAGGTCACTGCCAGAAAATTTCTCCTTGTTACTAGGTTGAATCTCTCCTTGATCAGTTTCCATCCATTATTCCTTGTCTGGCCTTCAGTTGCTTTGGAAGATAGCTTGACCCCTTCCTCCTCTCTGTGGCAGCCCCTCAAATATTGGAAGACTGCTATCCTGTCTCCCCTGGTCCTTCTCTTCACTAGACCAGCCATGCCCAGATCCTGCAACCGTTTTTCGTATGTTTTAGTCTCCAGTCCCCTAATCATCCTGGTTGCTCTTCTCTGCACTTTTTCTAGAGTCACAACATCTTTTTTATAGCGTGGTGACCAAAACTGAATGCAGTACGCTAGGTGTGCTCTTACTAAGGTTTTATAGGGGAGCTTCTGATGCCACACAGATTGTGAAGTTTCATCAAGGTTCTCTTCTCAATATCCTAATGGGCGAAGGCAAATTCAGTTCCTTACAGCAGATCAATTATTACTGGGTAGCCCTGTTCAAACACAACCCTTCATTAGGTCACGAACTGGGTTAGTATGTCAGTGGACTTTTGAATTTTAGCTTCAATGTCCTTAGGACAGTTTGGTACTGATTAAGCCCGCATCTTTCACCAAAGGCTGAAAGATTTAGGATAGTAAGGCCTCTCTAAACACCTTATAATGGTTTATTTTCTACTTTTCACCCCTGGTCATGACTAGGGGTGACATGATAAGAGTCTTCCAATATTTTAGGGGCTGTCACAGAGAAGAGAGGGTTGATCTATTCTCCAAAGCATCAGAGGGCAGGAGAAGAAATAATGTGTGGGAGTTTATCAAAGAGAGATCCTAACCTAGAATTGAGGAGAAACTTCCTGACATGACTAGAATAACAGAGTTGGAAGGGGCCTTGGAGGTCTTCTAGTCCAACCCCCTGCTTAGGCAGGAAATCCTATCCCATTTGAGACAAATGGTTATCCAATCTCTTCTTGAAAAACTCAATGATGGAGGAACCACAACTCCAGGAGGCAAGTTGTTCCACGGATTAATTGTTCTAACTGTCAGGAAATTTCTCCTTCGTTCTAAGTTGCTTCTCTCCTTGATTAGTTTCCACTCATTGCTTCTTGTCCTGCCCTCTCGTGCTTGGAAAATAGTTTGACCCCCCTCTTCTTTGTGGCAGCCCCTTAGATGTTGGAATTCCTGCTATCATGTCTCCCCTAGTCCTTGTTTTCATTAGACTAGACATACCCAATTCCAGCAACCATTCTTTATATGTTTTAGCCTCCAGTCCCCTAATCCTCTTTGTTGCTCTTCTCTGGATTCTTTCTAGAGTCTCAACATTTTTTTTTACATCGTGGCAATCAAAACTGGATGCGGTGTTCCAAGTGTGGCCTTACCAAGGCATTATAAAGTGGTATGAATACTTCATGTTGAGAACAATTAATCAGCGAAATGACTTGCCTCCAGAAAGTTGTGAGTGCTCGATCACTGGAGGTTTCCCAGAAGAAACTGGACAGTCATTTGTATGGAATGGTATAAGTTCTCCTGCTTGAGCAGGGGGTTGGACTAGAAGACCTCCAAGGCCCCTTCCAACTCTGTTATTTTGTATTCTGTTCTATTGTATTCTGATTCTTTTTCACCCTCTCAGAGAACAAAACCAAAAGATGGAGTTGACAACTTCTCAACCTCCTTTATAGAGGTTGGGAGATTCCAGAAAATGGCTGCTGTCCAAATGACTAAGTGGTCTCGATACAGCACTGCTGACATGAAGGAATTGGCCATGATAGCAGATGACCAGAACAGTCAATCAAAATGTCAGCATTCCAGCAAACCTCCATTCCAATCAGTAACTCCGAGACAATCCTAGTCTCAAAAGTACCTTTATTAGAATAGCACCTGGCAAATCTGTGGAATCTCGAAACTAAAAGTTTCCCAGACTTCTCACAATATCCCAAACTACAATCCATCCTTTTTTTCCCCATCATCACATCACATGGACCAATCACGATCCGTCCCAGTGTAAGATCCTTTTTCTCTACTGCGCCACACTTAAAAACCTTGAACTAAGAAAAGAATTTTATTTTGTCTACTTAGAACTACTCAATGAAAATCACCCCCCTCCCATTTCCTCAGGCTATGTGGCAGTGTGGAATATGGCTTCCAAAGCTGACACCAAAAGCCATAAAGATATTATTTTGACTCATTCTTTAGACCGCGTTTCGGATGATGGAAATGGGTACAATTACTTGTTTTCTCATGTCATCAAAAAAGGGCTCAGACACAGTCAGGGTCCAAAGTAGGTCATGTGTTCAAGCAGAACTGGGCCACCAGAGGGCTGGCCTGAACATGCTATGATTTCTGTATAATAAACAAGAATGCTACTTAGAACCTTTCGGACCTCAGGGACCACTAAATTCATAACTTTAAATCCTGTGGACCAGGGGTGGAATTTCAAATTTTTAACAACCGGTTCTGTGGGCGTGGCTTAGGTGGTGAGTGTGGCTTGATGGTCATGTGACTGGGTGGAAATGGCTTGGTGGTCAGAGACATTTCTGAGACATTTCTGAAGTCTAGTCCTGCCAAGAATGTAATAAGGGTTAACGGAGAGGCAGTTTCTATAAGCAACACCAGAATGTTTCCTTCCTGCCTTTCTTACAGGATTAGGCCAGTCATTTCTTCTAACAACTGGTTCTCCAAACTGCTTAGAATGCTAACAACCGGTTCTAGCGAATAGGTGCGAACTGGTAGAATCCCACCCCTGCTGTGGACCACTAATATAATTTTTTTAAAAAAGATCAGTAGTATGTAGTGTAATATAAAAAATGCAAATAATTTTTCTGCGGACCACCAAAATTTTCTCATAAACCACCAGTGGTCCACAGACCACTCGTTATTGACCACTGACTTTGAACATAGAATCATAGGGATGGAAGGTCTTCTGGTTCAACCCCTTGTTCAAAGTGAAAGACCCCATACCATCCCAGCCAAATGGCTGCCCAGATTATTCTTGAAAACCTCTAGTGATGGAGCACCCACAACTTCTGGAGGTAAACTATTCCATTGATTAATTGTTCCCATTGTCAGGAAATTTCTCCTCGATTCTAGTTTGGATCTCTCCCTGACAAGCTTCCATCTGTTATTTCTCGTCCTGTCCTTTGGTGCTTCGGAGAAGAAGTCAATCCTCTCTTCTGTGTGACGGTTCCTCGAGAACTGGGAGACTGTTATTTTGATATTTTACTGATTTCTCTTATTTTCTTTTTTCCCCCAGAATGAAGTATTTCAGGATCTCTCCTTATCCCACCTATTAATTTATCTATTTCCCACAAAATCCCTTCTTCTGAAGACCAAGACTTCAGCCCACAACCACAAGGATCCGAGCCAGCTTGAGGAAGGACAAGAGCGACAGAGAGAGACATCTGAGAACATCAACTGACCCTGTGTGATGGAAGTGTCTCACAAGATGGTGGGAGAAAATGGTTTCCACTGCACCCACAAGCTTATTTTTTCCAATGCACCCAATTCCGCGGAGAACAGTCCTCCTTTCGATAGCCCCAGTCCCCAGGAATCCTGCCCCACTCCTTTGAGCAATGGGACATTCTACTCCAACACCAACAGTCCTTCGGATTCCTGCATGAAGCCTCTCTGTGAGGCGACGTCCCCCAACGAAAACGGGTACAACGGCGGCATTAAATACATCTCCACGGAGCGGGAGGTCCTGGTGTGCGGGTGGGGAGGCTTCACCCCAAGTTGTTTACAGTTTTTCAACACCCCCAAAGGGGTTCTCTTCTTCCTGTGTGTGGCTTCCTTCTTGCAAGGCATGACCGTCAACGGCTTTGTTAACACCGTCATTACATCGATCGAACGGCGCTTCGACCTCCAGAGCTACCAAAGCGGGTTGATTGCCAGTTCCTACGACATCGCGGCCTGTGTGTGTTTGACGTTTGTCAGCTACTTTGGGGGCAACGGGCATAAACCGCGGTGGCTGGGCTGGGGAGTTTTAATCATGGGGATTGGCTCCCTCATTTTCGCCCTGCCTCACTTCACCACCAGCCAATACGAAGTCCCTTTTTCGGAGGAGATTGGCACATGCTCCTCCAATCAAAGCATGTGGTGCTCAGAAAGTGTCTCCACCCTCTCTAATTATCAGTTTGTCTTCATGCTTGGTCAGTTTCTACATGGGATTGGAGCAACGCCACTCTACACCCTTGGGGTGACCTACCTGGATGAAAACGTCAAGTCCAACTATTCTCCTGTGTATATTGGTAAGTCCTGCGGTCTACAGAATGATGGAATGAGTAGGATGACATCATCCAACACATTTTATTTTTATTTATCAAATCTGTATGCTGCCCATCTGAATCAGACAGTCCTCACTGAACAAGAGAAGAAACCTCAGCAGAGGTTCTCCAGTTGATGGCCACCTCTCTTGGAAATGAATCAGTGGTGGTATTCAAACGTTTTTACTACTGTTTCTGTGGGTGTGGCTTGGTGGGCATTGTGTGGCTTGGTGGCTGTGGCGTGGCTTGGTGGCTGTAACTTGGTGGTGTGGCTTTGTGGGCGTGGCAGGGGAAGGATACTGTAAAATCCCCATTCCCTCCCCACCCCACTAACCTGCTTTCCAGCTTCGTTCTCCTGTGCAGGGCAACAAAAGAAGACCCAGCCAGTCAGCTGGGACTCGGGAGGCAGAGAATAGATGGGGGTGGGGCCAACCAGAGGTGGTATTTACCAGTTTTCCGAACTACTCAAAATTTACTGGTTCTCCAGAACCTGTCAGAACTGGCTGAATACCGCCTCTGGAATGAATCCTCAGGATCATGTGTTCCAATCTTTACATTGTCCAGGAGGTTGGATGAGAGCAAAGGTCTCCAAACCTGGCAACTTGTGGACTTCAACTCCCAGAAATCCCCAGTCAGACATGATGGCTGTGGAATTCTGGGAGTTGAAGTCCACAAGTCTTAAAGTTGCCAAGGTTGGACACCCCTGGATTAGATTGCCAGTTGAATCCCTTTCATCTTAATCACTGAACAAAACTTGGAGAAGTTTATAGGTTCCTGCAGTGGGTCTATAACAATTCGTCACGGCCACCTCACCACAGCCAACTCATCACAGCCACCTCACCACAGCCAATTAGCCACAGCCAACTCACTGCAGGAAAACATGCTACAACCATCTCGCCATAGGACAACTTGCTACGGGACAAGAGTTACACTAATATCAAAGAAATTATGGGATCGAATCTTTAAAGAAAGAATGGAAAAGGGGGAGCAGAATGAAATGTGAACAGCAAAAATTAAAATATTTTTATTTTTATTTTCAATAATTAAATAGAATTGCTAAAATGTCCTGCAGCAAGTTATCACACAGTGAGTTGGCTGTGGTGGGTTGGCTGTGGTGAGTTGGCTGTGGTGAGTTGGCTGTGGTGAGTTGGCTGTGGTGGGTTGGCTGTGGTGGGTTGGCTGTGGGGAGTTGGCTGTGGTGGGTTGGCTGTGGCGGTTTGGCTGTGGCGGGTTGGCTGGGGCAAGTTGTCCCATTCTCCCCGCAGTGGCCTTCTTTGCCCCAATTTGAGCCTGAGCAAACACCAACACCTTTCATGTTGAACTTTGGCCAATATCATAGTTCTTTCTTTCTCTTTTCAGCTGTTTTCTACACCGCTGCCATATTGGGCCCAGCAGCTGGCTACTTGGTTGGAGGCATCTTTCTCAATATTTACACTGAAATTGGGAGACAGTAAGTTCCTGGCTCCTTTTCTCTTCCCTTCCATCAACCCTTCCAAAATTCCCAGGGAACTTTCTGCCCCTCTCTTGATATGCTTCTGTCAGGTAGAATCAAAGCCAGTATCAACAGGGATGTAGCTTCAATAAATGTCAGCATTTTCAGAGAGGTATTTCAAGTAAGATATTCCGGTGTAAATCTGGATGTCCAGACACTATGCAAGTCCAACCATCTTCTAGGCCCATGATGGTGAACCTATTGCACGTGTGCCACAGGTGGAACGCAGCCATTTGTGCCGGCATGTGAGCTGCAGGCAAACTTACCTCATTGCTCATGTGTGCACCTCACAGCTGATTTTTGGCTTGCTTGGGGCCTTTTTCGGCCTCTCAGAGGCTTGAGGAAAGCCTTTCCAGGCCGAAAAATAGATCCGTTTCATCACTTCCTGTATTTCCGGAAATACCGGAAGTGGTGAAACAGGCCTATTTTTCGGCCTGCAAAGCCTGCAGAAGCTTTCCTCAAGCCTCTGGGAGCCCGAAAAAGGCCTCAAATGGCCCCAAAATCAGCTGGGAGGCTCAGTGCAGGTAAGGGGGCAGTGTGGGGGGATTGCACGTGCATGCACAGGGGGCAGGGGGTGCGTGCGCATTGCCTTCTGGGTGCTGGCATGTGAGCATGCCCGCGCGCAAGCGCGCACACAGTTTTTAGCAAAGGAACCCAAAAAGGTTAGCCACCACTGTTTTAGGCAGTGTTTCTCAACATTAACATTTGAAGATGAGTGGACGTCAACTCCCAGAAATCCCCAACCAGCACAGTTGTCTAGGGAATTCTGGGAGTTGAAGTCCACTCATCTCCAAGTTGCCAAGAGAAAAACCAATCTAGGAATGGCCGTTGGTAGCAACTCAGTCACCCTCATCTTAGAGCTTCTTTGAGCTCCTAAAATTCCACGCTCAATTCTTAGTTAAAATATAATGGGGAAAACCCACAATTCTCCAGGCCTCATTCTTTTATTTTTTTAAAGCATGTCCACTTCTGGTTTGGTTCCTACGTATTACTGTTGCCATGAGAAATTCTTAGCTTTGTTTTTAAGTTTTCATCACCAGGTGGATAGTTTGTGTTAAAAGGAAAAGAGCACCATGCGAACTATAATGGTAACTATGGTAATAACTCCTGGGCAAGGTTTAATTTAGAATACAATAAAGGTATGCTATGGTGATGTGAGTCAGCAGAGTGTTACAAGAGAGCTGAACCACTCCATTTGATATTTCAGCTGATTCACCGGTTGGAGCTCTGTTGGCATTTACGCAGCATTATCCAGAATGACTTTCATTCATTACATTACATTAGTCCTCAATTTACAACTGTTAGTCTTGGAAGCCATTTTTCTCTTGGGAGCTTTGAGGCTGCCACATTCAGTCCCTGGGAATTTGGGAGGGGGGATTTCTTAGTGAGGCAGAAGATTAGACACAACAACATTCTTTCTCAGAGAGTCAAGGACATGTTGCTCTGCACCTGGAGGGAAGTGACTGGAGGGATGTCTCCAGCTGGGGCGGCAGTTTGATTGGACCACATGATGGACTGATGGAGGCAGGGGGGTGGATCTTTGATTTCTCTTTTGGGAAGGGAAAACCTGGAACTCTCAGATTCGGGTTTTCCCAGATGTGCCAATATGACAACTCTAATAAAATGGAACTCTGAGGAATTGCTTGTCTTGGGAGTTTATTGGTTTGGAGTTGGTTGGTTGGAATGCTGACAACGACTGCAATTCAGACCAGAACTTCCATTGCTAACTGAGGTAGTTGTAAATTTTATTGTCCTTTTGGCTGCATTCGTTAAACGAATCACTACAGGTGTTAAGTGAATTACAGGGCTGTTCAGTGAATCTGTTGCCCACTGACTTTGCTTGTCAGAGGCTGGCTAGGAAAATCATAAATGGCAATTATGTGACCCCAGGATACTTCAGCTATTATAAATACATGCTAATTGCCAAGCCCCCAAATTTTGATCATGGAAGCACTGCAAGGACTGGTTATGTCATTTTTTTCAGTGCAGGTGTAACTTCAAACAGTCACTAAACAAATGATTGTAATTCAAGGACCAGCTGCTGTAAGCTTCAAGTTCTCCAATTAGCCTTAGGAATTTCTCCTGTGTATCATCTTTCTGTTTCCTTACATTTTGTACTTTGTCATTCTCACTTCCGTAAAGAGTAGCCCCTTGAGTTGTTTATCCAATGACATTTAAATAACTCATCCGTTCCTCCCATTTGATGAGTAGCTTAAGATCCAGCAAGAAGATCTTTAAATTGATCAGTTTGGTCCTAGATATCCAGCATGGTGGCCTAGTGGTGAAGACGCTTGCCTCCCACTCAGAAGGTTGAGAGTCCAATCCTAGGTGGTGTCAAATATTTCTCTCCTCGGGCACAAAGGAAAAAAAAATCTGCTGTGAACTCCATATAGTCATTGGGAAGAGCACCGGCCAGTAAATGCTCAGATCCATCCAGTCACCCAACTCTACCCCAGATTAAGGGATTGTAGAGTTGTAAAAAGGGAGCCCTAGATGTCCATCTGCAAACTTTACACAGCTAGTTTTCTTTTTTTTCCCTTATTCTTGGAACTGTGATTATCATTAACACGATTGTTATTTCTGTCTCGGTTTGTCAAATGCACCCCCAACAAACCAGAAAGTCTCAGACTGGGTGGGAAAAGCTAGTCCAAGGCTCTCTCTCTCTGTCTCTGTCTCTGTCTCTGTCTCTGTTTCTCTCTCTCTCTCTCTCTCTCTCTCTCTCTGTGTGTGTGTGTGTGTGTGTTTGCATGCTTTATTGTTGTTATTGTAATTATCCTTTAGCTCTGCCTAAAGCAAAGTACACCGACTTTGATTTACTTTTTCTGGTGGTGCCCGGTTTGTAACCTTTACAAAAGCATGTCCCTTTTGAAAAATTTCTCCCAAGCAATTAAGGAACTAATATATCTTTGAAGAAAGAAACGGCTACATTTCACGCTTGTGTGAATTAGCTTTGTCTCTAAATTATCAAAGCCAGAGAGACAGATTTGATTGGATTTCTCGAAATTTATGGCTTTTTTCCTGGTTTTATTCCCAGAATTGATCTTACGCCGGAAAATTCTCTGTGGGTTGGAGCATGGTGGATTGGATTCTTAGGCGCTGGCGCCGGTTCCCTCTTGATTTCAGTACCTATTTTGGGGTACCCTCATCGTCTCCCAGGTACGTGAACTGAATCCCAATCAAATTCTTTGAGCTTCTTTTCAGGATTTTGGAAACCTGCCAAAACAGCCGCTTCTCTTCCATTGACTTCCCATCAAGAGTACAAGGTGCTGTAATAGTTTTTCTTTCTTTCTTTTAAATTGTAGTGTTTTGAATCTTGATGCATTGTAGTATTCAATGCAGTTTTTAATGCAATACTATTTACGTAATTGAGTTAAACCTTATGGACATTCTATTATTTAGAAAGGTTAAAGTGTTGAGAAGAGGAGGAGGAAGAGAGGAGGAAGAGGAGGAAGGGGAGGAAGAGGAAGAGAAGAAGGAGAAGAAGGAGAAAAGGAGGAGGAAAAGGAGGAGGAGGAGGAGGAGGAGGAAGGAGGAGGAGGAAAGAAGAAGAAGGAGGAGGAAAAAGGAGGGGAGAAAGAAGGAAGAGAGGAAGAAGAAGGAGGAGGAGGAAGAAGAGGAAGAGGAGGAAAAAGAAGAGGAAGAAGGAGAAGGAGAAGGAGAAGAGCTCTTCCTGAGATCTTCAGTTAAAAGTTCTCAAGAGGATAAGATTGGAAAAGGTGTAACTACTATAGAGGGACAACGTTGGCATAAGATAGCTTGTGCTTGCAGGAGTATAGTACACTTACAAATGATCAGCCCACCAAATAGTACCCTGAGTAGAAACAGATGGTCTATAGCCCACTTTGCTAAGTCCTTTGTGCATGAAAATGCAACATAGACCATGACGGAGTATACAGGTTGCAAGAAATAGTTCTAATTATAAGCACGATTTGCTGAAAAATCACCAGTGGTAAATTTTATTTACTGAGCATACAAAGCTATCAATCAAATTTTGCAAAGCATAATAGCTTAACTCATAACCTGCTAAGACAAACTACACAAAATTCTTGGGGTGTTTGGCTGTTGGTAAATCGTGCCTGGCTAAAGTCCAAATTACCCATCTAGCTCTTTCAAAGAGATTACCTTTAAGTGGTTAAAGTTGAAGTTTAGCTAAGAAATCCAAACAGTAGAAATAAACAATCATTGTTAAGAATTGACAACCTTAGGCATGGCAGGAACCTCAGGATGTTGGTTGTTGATGGGAACATTCGTATGTTCACATGATCCAGATGATAAGTCACAAATCAATGATCTTATTGAAACATTTGTTGTCCTAGGATCACAGCGTTACATAGTCATGCGAGTTTCGGAAACCCATCAATCAAAAGATGGCAGCCATAAAACAGCCTCGGATCCTGATTTCGGAAAGACGGTGAAAGATCTGCCACAGTAAGAATTTCCCTTTTTAATAATGCATAAACATTTGTATTGAATATGACTTTGGGGTATGGGGAAAATTACTCCAATGCGGTCTTTGTTCCTTTAAGCAAATATATTCCTAAAGCAGATATGATATTCAGACAATACATAGAGCCAGTTGGGTATGGTATTAAGGTTTTGGCCTAGAAACTAGGAGCCTGTGAGTTCTAGTCCTGCTTTAGGCACAAAAGCTGGCTGGGTAACTTCAGCCAATCACCTGGAGACTGTGAGTTCTAGTTCCACCTTAAGCATGAAAGCTGGCTGGGTGATTTGGGCCAGTCACCTGGAGACTGTGAGTTCTAGCTCTGCCTTAGGTATGAAAGCCACCTGGGTGACTTTGGGTCAGTCACCAGGAAACTTGTGACTTCTAGTTTCGCCTTAGATCATGTGAAATATTAGTGCTGCTTGATAAAACCCTAGTAAGATCACACCTGGAATACTGCAACCAATTTTGGTCACCCTACTATAAAAGAGATGTTGAGACTTTGGAGAAAAGTTTAAAGGAGAGCAACTAAGATGATCAAAGGCCTAGAGACTAAAACGTATGAAGAACAGCTGCAGGTATTGGGTTTGGCTGGTCTACAGAAAAGAAGAATTGAGGGTGACATGATAGCAATACTCCAATATTTGAGGGGCTGCCCCAAAGAAGAGAGAGGTCAACTTATTCTCCAAAGCACCAGAAAGCAGGACAAGAAATGAAGGATGGAAACTAATCAAGGAGAGAAGCAACCTGGAATTGAGGAGAAACTTCCTAATGGTGAGGACAATTAACCAGTAGACTAGCTTGACTTTGGAGGTTGTGGGTGCTTCATCACTGGAGGTTTTTAAGAAGAGACTGGACAGTCACTTGTCTGAAACTGGTATAGGGTCTCCTGCTTGAGCAGGGGGCTGGACTAGAAGACCTCCAAGGTCCCTTCCAGCTCTATTCTATTCCATTCTATTCCTATTCCTATTCTATTATATTCTTAGGCATTCAAGCCAGTTGGGTGACTTTGGGCCATTCAGTTAAGTAGGAAAGTTGGCTGCATGACACTGGGTCAGTCACTCTCTCTCTCAGTCCAATGCACCTCAAAATGCTCTTGTGAGGAAAATAAGAGGGGGAAAGAATATTGTGTATATTAACCATGAGTTATTTATAAAGGTAATAAAGGCAGGATAAAAATCTAATGAATAAATAAATACAGGAAATCCAAGCCTACAAAATACAACTAGTACAGTATGTTATTTAACATGCCCCCAGAATAAATCACAGGGTTTATGTTAATAACTTGATTTATAGGTGTTATGACTCTTGCTGGATTCTAAAATGCTTAGCCAGATCACTTAAAAAACTGGGGTGGCTGGAATACAACATGCTGTGCAACCAAGAGCTGTGGTGGCGCAGTGGTTAGAATGCAGTATTGCAGTCTAAATCTGCCAACTGCCAGCAGTTTGATCCTGATAGGCTCAAGGTTGACTCAGCCTTCCATCCTTCTGAGGTCAGTAAAATGAGGACCCAGATTGTTGGGGGCAATAGGCTGACTCTGTAAACCACTTTGAGAGGGCAGTAAAGCACTGTGAAGCTATATATAAGTCTAAGTGCTATTGCTATTGCTATACTGACATCGTTTAGTTTAAATCATGAACTTCAGTAGCTTATTGGTAAGTAAACTGAACTGATTTGATATGATTCAATCCCTCCTTAAAAAACCCCAAAATGGGTAAGGTGACAAGTTTATTTATTTATGTATTTATTCATTTATTGAACTCTGCAGTTGTATAAGCATAGCCAGTGGTTGGGTTCAGGAGTAGGATTCAAATTTTTAAACAACCAGTTCTGTGGGCATGGCTTAGGTGGTGGACATGGCTTGGTGGTCATGTTATTGGCTGGGCGTGGCCAACTCAATATCACTCACATCGAGGCATGTATCTCCTCGCCTGGCCTCTCATGACTATGGGGATGCTGCAACAGGTATAAGTGTGAAAAATGGTCATAAGTCACCTTTTTCAGTGCCATTGTAACTTTGAATGGTCACTCCACACAAGCAAAGAACCAGCAAAGGAGGGAGAAAAAGCTCCAGAGAGGTTCCAAAGACAGGAAGTCTAGTCCTGCCAAGAATGTAATAAGGGTTAACGGAGAGGCAGTTTCTGTAAGCAACACCAGAATGTTTCCTTCCTGCCTTCCTTACAGGATTAGGCCAGTAATTTCTTCTAACAACCGGTTCTCCAAACTGCTTAGAATGTTAACAACCGGTTCTAGCGAATAGGTGCGAACTGGTAGAATCCCACCCCTGGTTGGGTTCCTTCAACATGCTCAGTCATGACGTCCCTTTAGTCTAGTCTAATTTGTTGTTTTATTCCTTTGATGAGTCTGCTACCAAACCAAAGACAGCATAGAATTGTCTTTTAAAGAGGATCCAAACAAATGCATCCTTTATTTCGGAGGTTCTTATGCTGCCTTCAAAATAGACTGAAATAATTTAGTGCTGTATCTTCATCGTACACATCTTGTTAGCTGCTGCTCCCAAAGGCAGAGAATCAACAGTATTTTGGGGCAAAATAGGACACCCCGGAAATCTGAACTGAGCTAAACTCAGAAGGATAGACTTTAGAGGAGGAGCAATAATTTGGTTAATGCTAGAGTTAACCTGTTGGGAATCGTGAAGTTGACTCTATTGCAAACCCATCTTTGCAAAAAAAAAAAAAAATGCATTTGCTGTGAGGTCTCTTGATTAAAAACAAGTATTCAGCAGCCACCCTTAATCTAAAAACTATTAAGAGTAATATATGGAAAGTACAAATTTTGACCATTTGCCACTTTTCAAGACCATGACACCGTTATTCTGCATAAGACAATTAAATTAAAAAATAACATTGAAAAGCCAGCAGAGTACGACCAACTCAGCAAACAAAAATGAAAGAAAAGCAGTTTAAACTATGTTGTGACTTTAACCTCTTTTCCCTCCAAATATTAAATCCAACTTTTATTGAATGAAAGGATGAAACTGAAATCTTTGCATTAAGAAACCATCTGCAAAACCAGTCTAATTATTATTTCCCTTTTACAATACTAACTATGCAGCTGGGTTTATACATCATGTTTAATTTTAAACTTAACTACATACAGTTTTATTCCTTTCACATGATGTCCATAAACAAATATACCTCAATGTGGTAAATATAGCCTGGTCCACACAAGATGCTAAGATAGTGGCTTGTTTCCCATTGTAGGAAGTTAGCATCCACCCATCTCCTAGAAAAATGAAATATCCTGGGAAATATTAAAAAGGCAGAATAGTTCCCCTAAAAAAAAGAGTAGAAACTCAGAAGCAGAGACTCACCTCAGAAGTAGAAGCTCACCCCCACCTTTGTTAATGGGTGGGCCATTAAGGCCTGGGCCAGAATACTTTACATAACAAAGATCTCCAGGTAAAACTATAGCAATTGCTCAAAAGCCCTTTCAGTGCATCATCATCCAGCAAGGCTCAACCAAGCCTGGAACTCAGGACAGCCTACAGAGTTGCCACCGCATGGCCCCATGGGAGTCTGACAACCAATCAGAATACAAGCTCCAATTCAAATCCCAACAAAGGTTATAAAACCCAGGCACTCTCAGCACCTCGGCCCTTTCTTGATCTCTTCCTTCGCCTTGAAGCATGTGATCATCCTTCCCTTTCACTCTGGGGCTCCAGGCCACGTGGTCCTGTCCACCATTAAACCTTCCAAACAGCCTCCATGTTTCCAGTGTCTTTTTCCCCACTTGGAACTGAACCCAGAAGGATAATTCTTCCAACACCACAATATAGAGAAGTCACAAAATAGGTTTAGCTGACATGAATTCAACCACATTTCCTACTAATGGTTCACATTCTAGCACTGAAAATGTTAGTTTGAATAATAAAATGTTTGCAAGAAAGAAAGAAGAAAAAAAAAACAAGCTCAGAGAACACCAAAAAACCATTCAGTTAAAATTCTCCTTTTCCTGATACCCTTGACTGTTCAAACAGAAAGAGCTATTGTGTGACATACAGAATTGTCTGGTTAATTTTATTCTCTTTCTAATTTCCTGGTAGTGAACAGGAAAAAAAAAAAAACCCTTAAGTAAAGCAGAAGAAATTACCACAAATTGCATTTTAGATTAGTTTCATTTTCTTCATCACCAGATTTAACTGTCTAGAAATATAAACATTTGACCAACTGGTGTGTTCCTAGGTCATTCTCACTTCTGAGAAAGCGCTTGTGTGAGAAAACATTGATGAGCAGCTGCTACAACATATCACAAGGGAGTTGGCGCACAAATTATTGTTCTCTATTAGATTTTTTTTAGGAAGCAAATTTTCTGTAAGAGATATTTGTCTGTTCCCAGGACTGTGTTTTTCCCCTGAACACTTCAATAATAAAGACTGTTTATTTTTTATTTAATTTATATACAGCCCACCTCATCCAGAGATGACTTTTTTTTTTTTGGATTTAGGGATTTTTCTTAGTGCTGATGGTTTTTTTGATGGAGGAGGAGGAGGAGGAGGAGGAGGAAGAGGAGGAGGAGGAGGAGGAGGAGGAGGACTAGACAAGTAAATACACACATTATTAGGCTGGATGTTTGCAGCTCCCTGGGACTTTTCTGTAGTTAGGAGTAAGCATTGCAACTGGAACCATTTTCTAGAAGATGTGCAAATAATTCCTAGATGTGCTATCTGCTGGAATTTGTCATCCCCCTCTCCCCGCATTTCTTTCAGAATTCCTTCTTGCCTCCGACCAGTGCTTTCCCATCTGGCAATCATAAATATTTTGGGACTGCAAGTGTAAGGATATTCTCAGTGAATGTTTGATAATCTAGTTTTGTAATTCTGACTTTCTTTAGAAAGTCGTGAAAGTCTGTCCTTTGTTGCCTGGATTCTGTTTCATTCTTTGTCCTAATATTCTTCTAGAACAGGGCTGTCCACTCTTGGCCACTTTAAGATTTGTGGACTTCAACTCCCAGGATTCCCATGCTGGCTGGGGAATTCTGAGAGTTGAAGTCCGCAGGTTATCAAGTGGCCAAGGTTGGAGAGCCCTGCTGTAGCTATTGATGTCCAACTAGAATAGAATAACAGAATAATAACTTTATTGTCACTTTGAATGTACACTAATCTGCATATATTAAAGTGAAATTTCATTGCTTACAGCTCTCAAAGGGTCACCACCTCCAATATACACTACATAACATAACAGAATAAATAAATAAAGATAAAAACTAATCACAATGGAGAAATAACAGTCTTTTGAAAGATAACCATCATTTTTCTTTAATTATAAGAAATTGGGAGAACACGCCATGAGGGATATAGGATTATAATCCTAAGGAAAGCCTTGCTAAAAAAAAAAAAGAATCAACTAAAATAAATGGCAATCATCTTATAATGCTTGTGCACTTGGGTTGGAATGTAGGATCTACACACTAAATAATGTGTTTCTTTTTGGGTTTTTTGGATCCTAAAGGTCACTTTGGCTGCTACTGAAGAACCCAACTTTCATCTTCCTTTGCTTAGCTGGAGCTACAGAAGCTACCTTGATTGCTGGGATGTCAACTTTTGGCCCCAAATTCCTTGAATCCCAATTCAGCTTAAGTGCCTCTGAAGCAGCAACTTTGTTTGGTAAGAATAGAAGTCATTGAATGAAACTTTATGAAGCATTGAATGGAAGCGGATGAATACCGATGGATGCCGGTAGACAGAGGCAGAATTTTTTCCCTTTATTTTATTTATTTATTTATTTATTTATTTATTTATTTATTTATTTATTTGCCAATTGTTTACAAGATAATAAGTATAAGTGTATATATAGTTGTGAATACATGAAATGGGTACATATAAGAAAAATAAAAGAAGAATAAAAAGAAACAACAGGACAGGGACGGTAGGCACGTTGGTGCGCTTATGCATGCCCCTTACAAGACCTCTTAGGAAAGGGGTGAGGTCAATAGTAGACAGTCTAAGGTTAAAGTTTTTGGGGTTTGGGGAAGAAACCTCCCCAAGCACTAAGCCCGACCACATAGTTTTGTAGCAAAGCATGAGTATCCAGCTAATTTAATAATAAGCTTGTAAATGAAATTGAATATGCTTTAAATAACAAAGAATCAGATTTGAACGTGACAGGCCTTGTTTCCTCCCTTTTGGAAGGCTACCTTGTGGTTCCGGCAGGAGGAGGGGGCACTTTCCTCGGAGGGTTCATCGTGAACAAGTTTAAGCTGCGCTGCTCAGGGATCATCAAGTTTTGTTTCATGTGCACCATGTCGAGTCTGCTGGCAATTTTCATATTTTTTATTGATTGTCCCAATATGCCTATGGCTGGAGTGACCCAGATGCAGGACGGAAGGTAAGCAGGGGAAAAACAATCTCTTTGCAAAGGAAGCTACTCCAAAAGAAAGCTGCAAAAGTATATCACATCTATCTATCTATCTATCTATCTATCTATCTATCTATCTATCTATCTATCTATCTATGTCACCTGCCCTATCTACTATAATTATATATATCTAGCTGTGTTACCTGTATCCATCTGTCCATCCATCCATCCACAGTATCTATCCAGCTAGCCATTCATTCATAGTATCCAACTATCCATCTATTTTTGCCCTATCTATATGTCAATCTATCTATGTTGTCTGTGTCTGTCTATTATTCATCTATCTATTTTTCTATCATCTGTCTTATCTGCTGTAACTATATCCAGCTAGCTGTGTTGGATATAAATATTACCTATCTGTCGATCCATCTGTTTCTCTTGATCCATCCATCCATCCATCCATTCTATTCACAATATCTATGTCCATGTATCTATGCTGCCTGCCTGCCTGCCTGCCTGCCTGCCTGCCTGCCTGCCTGCCTG